ACCGATGGATGGATGGATGGATGGATGGATAGATAGATAAGATAGATAAAATAGATAAGATAGAAAAGATGGATAATATAGATAAGATAGATAAGATAAGATAGATAAGATAGATAAGATAGATACGATAGATACAATAGATACGATAGATACGATAGATACGATAGATACGATAGATACGATAGATTCGATAGATACGATATAGATACGATAGATACGATAGATACAATTGATACGATAGATACGATAGATACGATAGATACGATAGGTATGATAGATACGATAGGTACGATAGATACGATAGATACGATAGATACGATAGATACGATAGATACGATAGATATGATAGATAGATCGATAGATCGATAGATCGATAGATCGATAGATCGATAGATGGATAGATGGATGGATGGATGGATGGATAGATGGATCGGTGGATAGAGAGATGGATAGATGGATGGATGGATGGATGGATAGATAGATAGGTAGATAGACAAATAGATGGATAGATCGATCGATGGATGGATAGATAGATGGATAGATAGACAGACAGATAGATAGATAGATAGATGGACAAATAGAGAGATAGATAGACAGATAGATAGATAGATAGATAGGTAGGCAGATAGATAGATCGATGGATGGATGAATAGATAGATAGATAGATAGATAGATAGGTAGATAGATAGATAGCTAGATAGATAGATAGATAGACAGACAGATAGATAGATAGACAGATAGATAGATAGATAGAAAGATAGATAGATAGATAGATAGATAGATAGATTCCCCAACTAGCGGATTTCCCATGGGGGTCGGGGGGAAATAACATATTATCCAATCAGCAAATCCCAAGTCATAGTTGGCTATATCCCAAGTCATTGTTGGCTAGTCATGATATACCCCATATCATGAGTATCCCAATAAGATGGTATTAACATTAGCCAGCAATAATCATCCCCAATCGATGGTTAGTATAATCCCCAACTCACTAAATCCAATATCATTGTCCTCTATCTCCCCAAATATCCATTATGAACCATTATTGAATGTAGCCGATCATGGTTATACAATCGTTAATATTGGTTTCCACTAAATATAATTGGCTATAGTTGGCTAATGATGGTTACCATGAAATAGATGGCTAATGTTAACATTAAGCATTAGTCATTGTTGGTCGTATACACCATTACAGATCCAAATAAGATGGTATTAACATCAGCCAGTAACCATTCCTTTTAATGGCTCATAACGGATCCAAGTATAACTAATGTATCTCCCCAATCATCCATTATTAACCATTACAGTATTAACCATGATTAACCATGATGAACCATGATGAACCATGATTCACATCAGCCAATAACTAGTATAACCTGGATAATATCCATGATTAACCATTAGTATATAATCATTAGTGCCATTACTCACCATTACCATACCCTTAATGGCTCCCCCGTCATCGCCATAACCGTGGCCTTTCCAAGGCTGCCAAGACTTCCAACTCCGCCGCTGCGCCCAAGCGTGGTCGCAGCTGCCTAAGGTAAACCGAAGCCCCGGTTTTGGGAGGAGATTTCTCCAACGAAAAAGGGGGAAAACTGGGCCTACTATGGGGTTTTGGGGCTTGCTATGACTTACTATGGTTTACCATGATTACTGTAAGTTTTAAATTTATATTTGGGGAGCAGAATGTTTTTTTGTTTTCATGAAAGAAATTTCGGTGACAGTCATCCAGAGTGTGACACTCCGAAAGATCAGGAGTTCAGGATTCCCATAGGATCCATGGTGCTGCTATAAATGGTAACATGGATCCCATCAATATATCCCTTTATGTTAGCATATATACCAGCACCATGGATCCGTCATGGGATATGTGTTGGATTGTAATCCTGCATATATCACAATATGTCCAGATATTGGCTTTGAACAAGAGCTGGGATTTAACCAGCTTTGAGCGAACAGATCCCAAACAATGGGATGTCAAGAGAAGTGAAGGATAAACATGGCTAAATATCAAGAAACTTTGACCGCCCAATTCTTCTTAGAAAAAAACAGTCGGTTCTTGGGATTTCTTGGGTATATCCCAGCTGCCCCACGGTAGAACGAAGCGACATCGCCATCTGCCAGACGTCCACTCTGGCAGTGGCCGCCACTCCACAGTTGCGCAGCCGCTCGTGGGGACGGATCCTGGCAGCGGATCCATCCTTTGATGCAGGAACTGTCAGGAACTGTCAGGAACTAGCCCCGAAAATCCCTGAAACTCAGAGATCCTGGGATCCAACCAAGGAAATCACATGAAATCACCACAATAATCTTGGAAACATCGGAGAAACAAGCGTGGGAATACAGCCGCTTAAATCCACTGTGTAAAACAGGGGGTTCCCCATCCTTTATTTTTGGTAGGTCACATGTTTGGTAGATCTATGGCTTTGGACCTTAAACATTTTTGGTCATTCCATTGGTCAATCATCATGTTCCCCCAACAATGGCCTCTTTTTCCTGGCTTCATCCGGCCCCCAACACCCCAACTGGCTGGCCAGGTCAATCCACCAACTTCCAGGGTGAAATTTGGCGGTATCCTGAGTCATGGGGCTAGCCCTATATCATCCATGTTACCCTCTGGTTATAGATGGTTTACCTATTAAAAATGGTGATTTTCCATGGCTATGTTAGTCATAACCAGATGGTTTAAAAGGATTTTCCATTACAAACCATCCAGCTATTGGGGTACCTCCATTTATGGAAACCAAATCCAGAGCATCTCGTTGCGCCTCGCCAAAGTTGCCCCTCGCAACAAGCTGACAGCTCGCAACCAGAACTTGGCTCCTCCCAAGGCGTTCCTGAGGAGATCAGTGGGATTCAGCCCCCAAAGTACTGGGATTTTTCAGTAGCCGTCTAATATCATTTAGGGAAAATGTGGGAAAATATGGGAAAATGTATGAAAATGTATGAAAATGTGGGAAAATATGGGAAACTATGGAAAACTATGGAACCCCAATTTTTGGACATGGTCGTTGATGGTATGGTTTACCAAAGCTCCTTCCAATCAAGCATGCTATGGTTTATCTGAGATTGGCTTCACCACCCACGAGATGACAACCGGAACATCAGCGCCAGGAGACACGGCTGACACATAACCTCGGTATCGAATCTCAATGGGTCACACTGTTTTTCGAAGAGGTGTCCCTGAAATTTTCCCAGGCCCAGTCGGACTGGTTCTGAAAAGCCTTATTTCTGATCGTTGAATCCTGAAAAACGTGCGGCCAAAGCGCCATGGCTGTTACTTCAATGGTTGAGATCACAATTTTTGTGGCCTGATGCCTATGTTTCATCCCAAGTTGATGGTTCCGAATCCCCCAAGACATAATTTTCTGAGTTGGTTGGCTAGATAAAGCATTATCATCATCTATAAATCTGATATCATCATGAGTATCTTGGGTATAGCACCATTTTGGTTGCTTCAATCCTGATATCCCACCATAATATCTATATACATATGTATCTACATGATGATAAATTCAATGGCTATCCTCAAAACGTGATGCTTACCCTTCCTCTCGTAAACTAACAGTTCGCTATGGAAAATCACCATTTTTCCAAACGGTACATCGTCATACATCGTCTAGGTCATGTTCATTCATTTTCCATACGTTGCTGGAGGGTAGTCATTCTGCGGCTCCCCACTCATCTCTTGAGATGGGAGCAGCCGCACAGCCCACTGCCATTGCATGTCCCTGGCGGCTCCCAGGGGTTTTGTTTGGTTGAGTTTCTATGCATTTTTGTTTGTGATTTCTTGAGTTATCTTGAGCTTCTATGTTCTATTCGCAATTATATGTTTCCTAAAGTATAGTTCCCTAAAGATTTTAAGATGTTCCGAAACGTGGATCATTATCTAGTCCATCAACCAAAATTGTGATTTTCCCAGGCGAAACCTACATGGCTTGGCATAGCCACCCCCCATCCCTTAACACATCGCTACGCCCCAGTGACTTTCCGAAGCAGCTGTACAGATCCATAGCCTAAGGCATCCCTCAACGATTTTTAAACGGGTTTGACACCTCCCATGGCTACCACAGCTGTGGTTGAGCTCTCTTTTTTGCGAGAATTGGACTGTAGGATGGAGTGCGAGCTCTGGCAAAGAAATTACCATCTTTTCCATACATATGATATCAGAAAGATGATAAACATGGCGTGTATATATACAAAAATTTTATATGTAAATCATACATACTATGTATATATATATATATATTACTGTATATAAATACAATTTTATGATATAGTGTATTATTATATCATGTAAACACCTTAAACCCCCAGACATCTGAAAGTCATTGTTGGCCAAAAACATGGCTTTAGCATCATACTCCAAGGGTCCCAGTACTGGGGAACCTACCAAGATTGGGATTCCTCGTAATGGGTATATAAATCCCAATCAATGGAAGGATGACCAACCCTTATTGTTTTTTTTTAACAATAGAAATAACCAATGCTTTGACCATGGCATATATGACACTGATAAGATTCTTTATGAAAACTTCGGGTCTAGTACAACTAGTTCCACGGATCAAAGTTCGGGGTCAAAAACACGATTTAGATGAAACATGATGAAACTACTTAGGATACACAGGCCAAGCGGACTGCTAAGATTCATGACGGTCTAAAAGATTGTCAAAGATTGAATATTTCATGAGGTGAGGAATGAGGAAGCGCAACTTTTCCATGGCCCTTCAGTTTACCAGAGCCAACACCGCTTTGAGACGACATCTTGAGCAGTGGCAAAGAATCTTCTGGAGATCCTCTATATACATACTAAATATCTAAATTTCTCGGTCCGTCCAGATATTCTCTGAATCGTCCGTGTCAGATCATATCAGATCCGCTGATTTCAAAAATCCCTCACCGGGAACTATATGATCCTCCGGCCAAGCAACCAGCATTCTGCGGCAACGACTTATCATGAAAAAGAAATAAAATGAAATAAACCTCTTAGAATTCCTCTCCACCAGTTGCATTTCTGATTTCTTGGTGCCCAAAATTGCCCAAACAACGTTGCAGTGGGAGAAGTTCTATCCATCCCATATGGCTATCATTTTTGAGCTTGGCCAGGTCGAAGCGCCGCCTGCAGGTGGAGATCACATCGATGATCTGGAAAAATCCCACCCTGAGAACAACTACCCTCTGGTTACGTCAAACATAGCTATGGAAAATGACCATTGAAATAGTGGATTTTCCCATTAAAAATTGTGATTTTCCATAGTTATGTAAACGTTTACCAGAGGGTACCCTCCAATAAAAAAAAAAGTGAAAGACTAGTGAAAGCACTAAAAATGGGGTGTTTTCAGGGTCAAACCGTGAAAATTTACCAGAGGGTAATATACACTTTTTTGTGACATAGGAAATGCTGGAGGAAAAAAGACATCAACATCCTGTGAGAAAATCACTATTGGAAATGCTGGCAAATTCATGAGGATCCACCAAGATGTAACCATCTTAGGCCCGAGCGACAAAAAGAGAAGGCGATCGCTACCGGGGTAAACACAAATTGAGGATGGTTGAAATCCGCTTATATATGTATCTGTATAGAAAACTTGGGGATGGTGTATGCTTACTCTCATGTGGTTGGGAAACTCAATTTGTAGATCTTTGCCTCATCGTTCATATGCATGGAAACAACCTCCATGTCGCTCCCTCCAATCCATTCCACCGCCCCACTTATCCCCACTTATCTCATCACAGCTGCGCCCTTTTATGCCGCGGAACTAAGGCTCAAGCTGGAGGTTCAACCAGAAGGATCTGTTCATGGTTTGTCACCATAAAGAGAGAGCCTTTTTTTTGACGGATCGCATATTTCTCCGCATCTGACATACTTTGATATATGTAGTCAAAAATTAGAATGCTAGATCTGTAACAATAGCTAGATATAGCTAGTTTCATCAAATAATGATCATGTAGTTGCTATTAGATCTAATTAGAATGCTATATGTAGTCAACATGGGTATGTCTGAAAATGGGCTATACCCCCAATGAAATAGCCATTTAAAAACGGGATTGTCTGATCAGCAAAACCATTGGGTACAATGGGGTACACAACATTTTCATCACCAAACCTAGATCTGTTCGTCGAAACTCACTGAATCAGATGGGATCGCTACCGCGCTACCTTCGTCGACCGGAGTCCCGGCCCCTCGGTGCGGCTTGCGGCTCGGTCGGTACCCTCTGGTAATTCAACATAGCTATTGAAAATGGCCATGGAAGTAGTTGATTTACCTGTTCAAAATGGTAGTTTTCCATAGCGAACTGTTAGTTTACCGGGGTGTGTCTGAACCATCAAATAAGGGGGTCTGAACCAGCAAACAAGATCATACGGAGAAGCATCTGGAAAACATCAAATACCATTTGATTTTGGACATAGATGGTTTCATCACCATAGGGCTATGGTCCAAATCTTCTGCCAGAACCACCCTGGGGGCCATCTTTGACCATACGTCCTGGTTCATGTCTTTGCTGGTCGATGTCGAATCCCCAAAGTTCACGCATCTGGATTGCGGTAAATCCTGTCATCATGGTTGATTCGCAAACCTATTTCTTCTGGTGACCATTGTTATAGATCATCAGATATCCCCATCATCAACAAAAAATCTTCCCAAAAATCACGATTAAAATGGCCATATGGATCCATATGGTTGGTTCTGTATCCCACTATTTCATCATATATCCCCATATATTTGGTTGCTGATATACGAATATCCCATCAAAAAAAAACATTCTTCCCCCTTGTTCTCCCATAACGGGATTCGCACCTCCGACTGATGTCCCGGATCTTCCCCAAAAGTGCTGAGGAGGGGTTCTGGGCCCCCTCTAAGCCACGTTCCATTAGCTGCTCCTGGCCACGGGGAGTTTTCTGGGTGGATACACAGTCTGCAAGTGGAACTGCACCCCAAGTTTTTGCGGACTCTAGCGATGGGTTTATCCCCCGGGTTTCCTGAGTTTCAACGTGAAATCTCACTTGGGTGCCGGCAAACCCACATGCGATCAGAGGTAAATCTCCCACAAATATCCACAAAGCAAGTCTCATCACCTGGGGGTTGGCTCAGGAATTGCAATTGGGTAAGTTTCATTAAAATCATTCAGTATAACATAGTATAACCTAATTCATACAGTAATTATATAATGTATTATAATGTGAGTAAAACAATGCCATAAACCACCCATGACTGGGAATGGTAACCATACGGGCAAACCCCTCAGTTTGCCCGCGCCGATGCCGACGACATGTCCGAACATCAAAAAACGCTGTGTTTTGTGGGACAAAGTAAACATGTCCATGATCATGGTTTTCATCTTGCAACTACCTGTGCGTTGAATGTTGCAACATCAACATCATCATCATCATCATCATCAACGGGGGTGGGAAATTATATTCCTAATGCCCTTGTTGATCTTCCCAATTGAATGTAAAGTTTAACGGGGGTGGGAATTTATATTCCTAATACCCTTGTTGATCTTCCCAATTGACTGTAAAGTTTAACGGGGTTGGGAATCTATATTCCTAATACCCTTGTTGATCTTCCCAGTTGAATGTAAAGTTTCACGGGGGTGGGAATTTATATTCCTAATCCCCTTGTTGATCTTCCCAATTGAATGTAAAGTTTAACGGGGGTGGGAATTTATATTCCTAATCCCCTTGTTGATCTTCCCAATTGAATGTAAAGTTTATCGGGGGTGGGAATTTATATTCCTAATACCCTTGTTGGTCTTCCCGAATGAATGTAAAATTTAAGGGGGGTCGGAATTTATTTCCTTCAAAATCCCTAAGAAGTTGTGTGGGCGAACTGGGGGGTTTGCGCATAACCCTACCACCTATCAAAATGGTGATGACTGGGGGACGGTTTATGGCATTGTTTCACCCACATTATATATGTAATTATATATGATTATATAAACTGATATGTATATATATATACTACATATCAATAATAATATACGTATATATATATATATTATATCAATATAATATGACATATTATATATATACGTATATATATTATAGATTTTTTTCTGCCCAATGACTTGTGTAATTTCCGTGACTAGCCACATCGATGCCTGGGATGCACGTACGCAAAATTCATTCCGCAGTGATCAAGTTGTCGCTAGTTTGAGTAAGGAAATCTGGTTGGTGGTTGACCTATCCCTCTGAAATAGTGGTTAATAGTGGTTAATCATGGCTGATAATGCTTAATAACTGGTTGGTGGTTTCAACCCCTATGAAAAATATGAGTTCGTCAGTTGGGATGATGACATTCCCAATATATGGAAAAATAAAATTCATGTTCCAAACCACCAGAAATATATCGGAAAATGATGAGCCAACCAGTGGATGGAATGGGGTCCACCATTTTCAGACACCAGTTTCGGCTGCAGCACGTTCACTGCATCTGTATCTGGTCTTTACAGCCAATCATTGTATATGGATGTCGATATACTGTAGTACTGTAGTTTATTTACTATGTACGTAAGTATGGATGGATGGATGTATGGATGTATTTCTGTATGTATGGATGGATGGATCCATGCATGTATGTATATAACTTGTCGGTAGTTTCAACCCATCCCACAGATATTGTTCATTGAGAACAATCTCAGGTAGGAATAAACACATAGTCAATGGTGATCATGATCCCAAAAATGCAACTAAAACCTATCTGAAACCACCAACCAGTGGTTCTACTATTGCTCTTTAAATACATATAATAATGTGTGTATATATAATATACATATTGTCAGGTTCTATCCAGTATATCCCCATGATCGATGATTACCCCCTGGTAAATTCACATAGCCACATAGTAAATCACCATTTTTCAAAACGGTAAATCACAGAAAAAATCACCGAACTGACTAGGTCATTTTCCACAGCTATGTTAGTTTATTGGAGACTAAGTGTCCTATGACCACACCATCGACCTCGACACGAAAAAAGTCGCCTGCACTTCCGGGGGGCATTTTCTCATGGCATCGCAGGCAGAGCCGTCCACGTTGTATCCTGGAGATCGACCATGGGCAGGGAACAGATGGCAAACAAGCGCTGATAGGGTGACTTTAGTGGGATAGTATTGGGATATGGGATCTTGATGAGATTTCATGGGTTTTGACTGGTTTTACCATCTTCATGGGATATCATGTGATTTAATTATGAGGTTTGTCCTGATTAATGATGATCAATAATGGACAATGGATAATAATGGGATATGAATGGGATACAATGGGATTTATTGAGATAACGAGGATTTATCCAAGAAAAAATATTAAAAATGAGGATTTTTGGCCGGCGAACAATAGGGATATACTAGGATGGGAAATCCCCTACAAATGAGCACAATGGTGGGCACGGGTAAAAATTGAAGACCCCAACCGCCACAGATTTAGTCTATTGTTGGTGAATACCATCTAAGTATTGTGGTACCAAATGTTGACCCATAAAAGAAGTGTATAAATTTAGTCAACACCAAAACATGTCTGAATCATAATCATAAGAGGAAAAAATGGTAATCAATACCATTTGCAAAATTGACAGCATCAGTAGCTTTTCTACTCTGTGCTTCCAAAATGGTCCCGCATCCAACTTCCCCTCTGGTTGATTTACATTGCTATGGACAATTATGGTCCATTTAATAGCCGATTTATGACGATTTACCGATGACTCACCTATTGAAAATGGTGGATGGTCCGTAGCTACGGCAAATTACCAAAGGGTCAGGGGAGGATGATCCATTGGAGTCTTACGAGCACCTCCCAAAGTGATCATCTAATATTAGTTTCCACGCACTCTCCCCACTTCAACCACCAGGGGTCTATCATAGTCATAGATATCAATCCAGTGCTGGCACCATACACCACCAACATAAGTATGTTTTCCCTTATAATAAACACCCCTGCAGGAATCAAACTCTAACTTCGTACTGAATTTCGGCATTTACCTATAGTCTTTCTAATACACTAAAGGGATTGAGATTGAGAGGAAAGGAATATAGTTCCTGTTACTGGAAGTCCATCCCCGGTCCAGCTGCAGAAAGAACCCAGCATTATCCAACACTACACACTCGACAACATCATCAAGCCCAAGCATCATTAGGTTGGTGGTTTCAACCCCTCTGAAAAATATTAGTCAGTTGGGATTATTCGTCCCAATATATGGAAAAATAAAAAATGTTCAAAACCACCAACCAGATAGTAATTGTACCAGTATACCACCCCCTGGCGGAATCGTTGTAGGATCTGTTCCCCTGGCGCTGGCTTTAATGTGAACTGGAAAGGATTCATCATTGCAATCAAAATTCGTGCCAAGCAACCGCCCTCTAGTGCCGTATTGAATCTATGATGTGCATAGCTTTGAAAAGAAATGTTGAAGGGAATTTATGAGCTTAGATTTGCACAAGGAAACCCCAAACAAATCTAATAAAGAATCTTCCCTTCATCAGTTTTCCCACAAAACTCAGCCCAAGCTTCTTTGAAGATACTCCTCGACCTCCTGCTTCAACGTGGCCTTTCCCTTCCTCTCTGGCGCTTGCCCAATGGGCGCCGAACGCCGCCGAGGGGAGCGACGCGAGGCGCCACCGGCACCACCGGCGCCACCGGCGCCACCGGCGCCACGAGGCATGTCGCGGACCTTCTGATTCATCTCTTTGATGCGTGCAGAAAGGGCGGACGATGGGTTGTAGGCACCTGGGATTTTTGGATCGGTGAGGATGCTCTGAGGTGTAATGATGGAATTGTTGGCACCTGTAAATCTTGAAATTTCTGCTGGTTGTCTTACGATTCTTTTGGGTGATATTCCGACATTTCACGGCACGGGTTGTTGGCACCCGAGCTACTGATTTTTTTTTGTGGGGTTTTGAACAATCCGATCAAGAGAAATGCGAAAGCGAATTGGAATCATCACTGCAGTGGTTCATGGACACCGTTCCCCTTTTCCTCCTTTGGGATTCCTCACAAAAGTTCCTACCCATAAACTAAGATGGACGAAAATGGCCCATTTATGGATGAATTATCTTGAATTATCATGAATTACCTACTAAAAATGGTTGGTTTTCCACATGTTCCACATCGAAGTGTTCGTTTACCCTAGGTTTAACTCCAGTTTCCGCTCGGATTTTGTCAGATTCCAACCTCCATCAAAAACTGTAAAATAACATACTAAAAATGAAGTATTTATGCTATATCTTGCAATATTGTTGTATATATATATACATATGATTAAATTATTATGTGTTATTTGTATACACGTTACTCTATGTGCGTACACCGTGCATGTATCATTCTATACATGTAGGTTCTGATAATGATTTTTATATACAAATATATACATATACATATAATAATATAATATATAAATGATAATATAATATAATATGTAAATATATATAATCATATGTATTATAATATATATATATATATACAATATATATATACAATATAATATATATATATATATTGTGTGTGTAAATACCGCCGCATACATGGATGGTATGAGCGAGGAAAATCATGAGATGCGGTTCTCAGACTTTGAACTTACAAACAATTGCGTCTGTAGATTGTGAAACCCTCAAAACCACTCCGAGACTACAGTATCTTTTCTGAGATTGAGAAACCAATAATGTTTGGGTGGTAAATGGTGGTAAAGATCTTTCAGCGGCTCATTATGTAGGATAAACCCCCTCCTTCGCTCTCTGCAAGGACCAACACAAGGCATCGGTGACATGGGCAAATCATTGATCTCCTTTTACTACATAATTTGTCGCAGATCACTGAGACATGGCAGCTAAAGATGTGCTTAGTCGCAGATCATGCGCTTCATGGAAAATCTTGGACACCCTGGAAACAAAATGCTAGTGTGATCTTAGATTCGCCTTTCTACGGCCAAAAATTGAAGTATCGAACCCGCCCATGGTTATAAGTTATAACATGCTATAACTTAACCATTAATAACCCCAAATCCTCAAGAGAACATCCCCATTACATCCCCATTTTTTCGATGACAAACTGGAATAATCACCTTGTTTGATGTGGAATCATCTACAAAGCATGTATGATGGGTACCCTCTGGTAAACCAACATCACTATGGGAAATCACCACAGTCAATAGGAAGCTCAACTCAAAATGGGCCATGTTCAATAGATTTCGTTATTTAAACGTTTACCGCAGGCTAAATCATCTATGGTAACATCGCTGTATATCATCATTTGTAGATGAACCTTTAGGTTAGATGAAAGTCATCCATCTGTAATGATATACCGCTGCTATCCATTTTTTCGAAAGTCATCCATTTGTGCTGCTATCCCTTGATGCTGGATGAAAAAAAGGAGCTGGATATATGCAGCTCCTATATCAGTTAATTAGGATAACATTAGTTGAGCTGGTATATCATTAGTTGAGCTGTCATCTAATTTTACCAGCTGCTATTCCTTGATGCGACCCAGGCGCCCTCCAAGCCTCTCTCAAGCACCTCAGGGACACCACGCCGTCACTCCATGGACAGCATCGTGACCCGGTAATCAAACATGGCAAAGGAAAATCCTCGAACTAAATGGAGGTGTTAATGATTATTTAATGTGAAAATCCTCTATAAATGGTGTGAAAATCCTCTTTAAGTGGAGGTTTAAATGGGAAAAACATATCCTATAAGTGAAGCTTCCTAGTTGGGAAAATCATGGAAGTAACTGGGTGATTTTCCAGCAAGCCACGTTGGATGACCGGAGGGTAAATGATCATTTTGTTGCTGGTGAAATCTAACTTTTTAAGTGTTGTTATTTCTCTGTTCCGTTTGAATGTCATATGAGTCATATGAGTCATATGATGTCATATGAGTCATATGATGTCATATGAGCCATATCATATAATATGTCATAGATACGTCTGTAAAATCTCCAATGTCTGCCTGTCTGGCGCATGTTTTGAACAGGTGCAATCCTCATCCCTGTTTCCCCCTGACAGTCGGAAGTGAAAAGCTGGAGTTGTTCCAAAATATACACTGGTTGTAACATAAAACGTATATGTTATAAATGTAATAAACCAGTCAACAACTATCAAATGTTCTCAATCATTTTAACCATCCGTTGAGATCGATTCCATCACCCTGCTAGTTAACCCTGGCCTCAAATCCCACCCCGATCATTTCACCATTGGTCAAAATAGAAACGACGAATAAGTGGGGATTGTGGCATGGGGATTAAGACATTACCGAAGGGTGTATGTACATGTATTTATGTATACTGTATAAATATATATATATACACATATGCAACATGTATATGATATATACATATATTAGATAATATATACATAATTGATTGTTCACTGGTTATATGTTACCCACTTCAACGCACAATGACTCAAATGTAGGTAAGTAGCACGGAGCATACGGGATAGTCTTGGTGGTAGCGATAATAGGATAGTCTTGGTGGTAGCGATAATAATCCATATTTTGATAGGTTAAATCATCCTCCAACTAAAAGGTCGAACCCATGTGGAGGTCCCATACTTTGTTGGCAAAACCTCAAGAATATGCCAATATTGGGGGGCTACAGTCCAATTGTTATTATTATCATCATTATTGTTATCATTATTGTTATTGTCATAAATTATTGTGTTTGCCAAAGAATTAGCGATTCGTTAGTAGTAAGTGGGTTATAAACCCTTACAACTGGAATTTAACAAAGGTTTTACCCCAGTTGCTAAGCACCAATCGTTAGTTCTGGCAACATCTAAGTATAGAACATTTTAGCAGATGATGTTCCATCAATGTTGATCTTCAATCATCATCAATTCCTAGTATGAAGCTATGTACCCTCAGGTAATCATTAAATATCCCAGCGTTCCGTTTTTAATATGTAATATTCCATTATCCTATGAATCATATTGGAATCAAGAGCCATTATCCCATCAGAGTCCATTGAATTGAATATCCCAGTAAATATTCATTAATTATGATTATAATTATTTTTATTATATATATATGTATATATGTATATGTATATATATTATACGTATATATATACACATAGATACATATATATATAATGTTAATTATTATATATATATATATTATGACATATATATTATAAACATTATATATCATAAATTAAATAATATATATATATAATATTGAATATATTATATAAAATATCCAATATATTATATAAAATATTTAATATATTATATAAAATATTTCATATATTACATATAATAAATAATTTATGACATATAATATTTATAATATATACGTCATATAATATTAATGTATATGTATACATAATTAATATAATTTAATATAAATATTTATATCATTATATTATATATATATATTAACTATTAACTGTAATATCTATACAACCCATATTTCATCCCATCAACAGGTCCCAACTCTTTAAAAGGTTGGCCGTTTTTTAAAGGTCCCTTGTGGCGAGCCGCCATCTCCTGCACTTGTGGCGAACATCTGCGCAGGGCGTCGCAGCCCTGCTGGTCCACGTTGTAGCGAAGCAAGTAATCCTGACCGGCTCCCAATACCATAATGGTGTATTGTAGCATTGTAGAAACCAACTAAGTACTGGTTTAGCACACTGGATTATAGTACTAGCTTACTAGGATAGAGTACTATAAACCATAGTAAACCAGGTTATAATCATGGACTATAATCAGTAAACCTGGTTTACAATACATCTAAAACCATAGTATTGTGGTACTGGTGTGGTACTGGTTTGTATATATATATATAATCCATGGTTGATGATATATGGGACTTTGTAGTGCTTGTGACGAATCGGATCCGTGCTTTATAATCCATATATAGCCCATTCTTACAAGCGGTAATATTCCATGAATCTAAATATGTTGTTTCACCCAACTGCTGGGATGCACCCACAGGTGGGGAAGCCAAGAAGGCCGAGGTTTTCAGAAAACGCCGTTACCAATAAATGGTGATAGTAAATCGTGTTTTTGTGATTTTGTGAAAACAATCGTATAAAAACCCTTGTTGGGTTGTATAAATTGACGATGGTTTAGCTAATAGCAAACCATCCCTGAATTTACCATAAATGGGCTGTATAAACCATCAAAATATGGGTGGTTTATTATTGCTTTACTAACGATACTGGTGATGACCATAAGCCGTATCCATATGGATGGTTAACGTTGGTGATCCCATATAAAGTTAAATGACATCGCCATGATATCCCCGTTAGATTCGATGATTTTCCCAGACGAAACCAGATCAACATACGGTCAACAGATGGTATATGGTCATCCTATCCTGGAATCATTGGAAATCCTCATATTGGGCCACTGCAATTCCCTATGAACATGGTGGTACAGTCTTGAACCCCCACTATGGGTATGCAACCCAACTTTGACCATGACACATGACATGAGCATGTAGCTCATGTAGCTCATGTAGCTCTAAGTTTATGGTTGTAAGTCTTGTTAGTAAGATTAGCACAAGTCATATCCAGTGGATACCAGCTGCTATCCCAGGGAATGGATCATAACTCTGCGACGAAGCGTGGATCCTGAGAATCCTAAGTCAGTTGGAACTGCTGGGCAGCCTGGTTTTCCAAAATACTTGGCTGTTGTGGATGTTCATCCCCCCCATTCATGCAAAATATATTCAAAAATCATGTGCTGGGCATGGAATGATGGGTTTTCACCGTATCACTATTGCTTTACCCCAGAATTGCTCGGACTCCCTTTTTTGTCGAGATCATCCCCTATTTTTGTTGGGTTGAAATCAATCATTGCAGGTGAAAAGTCCAATTTTGCTAGTTACCCCCATTTTTGCTGGTAAATACCCCACTAATACTGGATTCTACACCGGATTGTTTAAAACATATTTGATTGTCAAATCACTATAGTCTGCTGCTTATGTTCTCATCTTTCTGGACAAATTTAAACAAATCCGGAACCTGAAAAGTGGGGATGACGCCCCTTACCAACCATAATTCCTCTGTTCCTTGACACCCCATGCTTCACTTTCCTTTCATTCCCCCTCCCTCTCTGCCTCCACGTCATCCTGAAGTCAGCGGTCGTTGGTCCGCCCAGTTTTGGCAAAAGAAATGACCCGCGAAACCCATCAAGAGGACCATCACACACCATCAATCGCCATCAAACAAATCCTTCAAACAATTCCAAACCATAACACAACAACATGATAAAAACAACGAATTAAAGGACCGGATAACCCAAAATCAGAAAAGTGGTTGAAGCGGCACGGAGAAAGCAGAAGGACAAAGGAGATGGTGCAGGATCGAGAATTTTAAACATTTTATTTGAAGAGTTGTGTGTGACAAAGTTGTGTGAAATATGGTGTGAGACCAAGTTGTGTGTGAAAGATGGTGTGAGGCGGCTGCGCGGGAGGCGGAGGCGGAGGCGGAGCGGGATACAGAATCAAAAACAAGAACCCCACACAAAGATGTGGGGGAAAAACAACACCACATGAAACACAAGAAAACCATTCAGCAAAGATCATAAAACCATCCAAAACCCCGAGAAAAAATGAAAAAAAAGTTTTTCCTCAGATCTGCCCCGCCACCGCGCCCTGCCACCGCCACGTCCTGCAGCGGTTGTCCAGCGCGGCGCGGGGATCTCGAACGGCTGCGCTGGCTCAGTTCGCGCAAACGCGCCTGTAGGGCCTTGGTTTGGAAAAGGGTGACGTTTTTGGTGGTGAATTTAGTGAACTAATTAACGGTTCGTTTTCGTTAGTAATGTTTAGCAATTACTAATTAGCAATTAGTAATAGTTGGTAATACATAGTTCGTAATAGTTAGTAATAGTTAGTAGTCGCAGTTAGACAGTTAGAAATAGTTAGTAGTAGTTAGGAACACTTAGTAAAAGTTAGCAATAGTTAGTAGTAGTTAGTAATCTAGCAATTTAGAAACTAATGGTTAATAGTTACTACATAATAGCGATTAAATGTACAACATGAAGCAATAGAAAGTAATAACACTAACCATTGAAAGTAATAAGGGTTACCAATAATCAGTAGTAATAGTTAGTTCATTTCATTGTTTCTGGATTAAAGATGGTTCAAAATGGTTCAACCAAATTTCCAGAAACATGTGTGGGGGCTCGACGGCGGCACCTTCATGGGCTACTACGACATGCGTGCGCAGATCTAATCTATAAAGCAATTTACTATCGGTTCATAGTGACTACTATTGCACGATAGCGAATAAGCTGCATAATAATCACTGTTACTATCAACCATAGAAAGTATATAATCTTTTGAATAAAGACATAGAAATCAATAAGAGTCACTGTCAACCATAGAAAGTAAATAGTAATGACGTCACTATGAACCAAAATATTTGAGTATTAATAATGTCACTATTAACCATAGTATGACTATTAATAACGGTCACTATCAACCATAGAAAATACTAATAGTTCATATGTATATATATGGTAACTATTGAGTGAACTTAGTGAATAGTTGGACTATGTGTCGCTGATATTAGTTAATATTAGAGGCTACTAGTGTTGTTATTTGTGTTACAAACTATTAACGCAATGTTTGGTAATTAATTCAGTGACTAGTTGCTTGTATATAATCATTTACTATCGGTAAATAGTGATTATTATTGGCTGACAAGGAAAAGCCTTTATAACAATCATTAGTGTTTTTGGCGACACTATGATTCATGAAATGTTAGTGATGATAAAGATAGTAGTAAAAACAATATAATTGTCGTTAATAAGCATAATAGTCACTATTTACCATAGCAAGCAATGAAAGTTCTAGATCAAAAAACATAATCAATACTAGCCATAGTCAGTAATAGTACATCAATTGTTGATACTTAGCAGAGGTTTGATAGTTAATAGTAGTCCAATTTTAGTGGTATGGTATTGGAATATGAACAGAATAACAGATTACACTGCACTTCATAGTTCATAATTAATAGCCATGGTAACCATATTTAACAGGTAATAATTGATAGCCAAGAAAAATGTGGTTTAAGATAGTTCAAGATAGGCAAATGTCAACCTGAACCTATACGAGGTCGTCTCAAGTTTTAAAACCCCAAATCCAAGTTCTGCATGAGGATTGCCATAGCATGAGGCATCCAATCCCCCATGAAAACTGCAAAAACAATTGACGCCAACCTACCCTGCACCCTTTTTCACTCAAGTCATCCAAGTCATTCACCAGCAGCCAATGTTCCGATATTCTTGAGCTGACCGCGCATATAACTCACCATACCATACAGTCCCATATTTTACCATATGAATATCAGCATATTGCATATATATGTATATATATATATACATATATACATATATACATATTTATATATACATATATATATATATTTATTTATTTATACATAATTATATATATACATATATATATGTGTGTGTACATATACAATTAAATATGTATGTTTCAGCATATGCAAATATTTACTATGATAATTTATATGTATATACATAGTGTATGTATATACGTTGAACCTCAACGAACTTACGACCCTTTTAGAAGCATCTGTCCGGGCTGCGGAGGACGGGTTCCTGACCCCGTCCAGGCCCTTGTCCATGATGGCCTCCTGCACGTCACGCCGCGCACGGCGCATGGTGTCCGAGGCCATCTCGTCCTTTTTCGACCGGGACGGGCACTGAAAACGGTGTGAAAGTTGACCATATATAATATTTTATATCTATAGATTTTGACAACAGTTAGTATCTAGATTTAGTTGACACTACACTACAAAGTTGATAATAGTATCTATAGATATTTTGTTTAGTTGATTGATCCCACATAAACAAAAAAACTATATAGTGAACAGGCATATTAATCGTATATATATATATATTTATTTAACCCCAGTTCCATGTAAAAAAACATAGTTGACTTTAGGGGATGGCATGTCTATTACATATGTATATATAGATTATAGATATAGATATAGCTGGATAGCTGATTGACTCCATCCCTATTGAACACCCCCATTCTACGATCCCAAATATGTGGTTTTATCCTGGTTTATCCCCTATTAAACCGTGGTTTCTGAGGGGTGTTTAGTATTCGGGTGATGGATTGTGTCATATATATATACATATATTCACAGAGTTGGTTATATCTGGTTGAACATATCTAGTCAAACATACAGCTTCTTTTATCATGATGTACCTATGTTATGTATGTTAAAGTAATCATGCTTCTATCTTCTAAATTTCAGGTTGCTGGTTCTATCACCTATCAATGTGGACCCGAACTTGCACCAAGCAACCACATCATTGTTGCTATACTTACAATACATCTCCATTATTGTTCAATAACTCCCCAGTTTTTTGTATTTTGTAACTTAGATCATCTTAAATCCACTATATCTGCCGACCCCCGCCTACTAGCCTTGGCCTAGGCGGGGCGGCGCCCGGGATCACCGCAGGCGCGCACCAAGGAACCAGAGGACCAGGCGACCAGAGGACTAAGGGACCAGGGGACCAGAGGACCAGGCAACCAAAGTATCTGGGGAACCTTAAATCAATTTCCAGTCTTTTTTTTTGTCCAGGGTCCAGGGTCCCATTTTTTTTCCAGGAAACTTAGCTTTTTTCAAATATCATATCATCCCAGATACCGAAGTGTCCTCTTCCATTGACCATCTCTTTCCTCTTGTTGCCTCTTCTCGCACAAAGCGTGCGACAAAGTCATCACAAGCACCTGCAGCCGCGCCGAGACGCTTCTGGGCTTCCGCCACCATCCATGGCGCTAAAGTTTCCCACAGCCACTGAAGACAGGGCCTCTGACCTTTGCACGGAATCTTCTTCGTCCAAATTTTAGCTCTGGCATTGCTGCCCATGTTCTGCAGTGAGCTCGTGGCCGCGAACCATGGTAGCGGGTAGAAGACGCAAATGTCAGGGCAACAAACCTGCCTGAACCTCAGCAATACCCCCGCCTCCCAATCCACTCCTTCCATGCCATCCATTGATCTGGCTTACCTAACTGCCAACGACCTAACACAATCAGCCACCGGCCAAACCACTTCAATGCCATGCGCCAATAAAATTACAAGACGCTTTTTGGAGGTCCATTTTGGGCACTTTTTGGCGGATGTTTGCTGTCTTTGGCCTGGCGCTTGCCAAGAGCCAAAACATTGTGCCTTTGGCATGGAAAAAGTTCTTCTTGCAACATGCTGAAAACTGCGTAAATACCAGTGTTTTTGCTAGGCGCGGGCCAAAAACATTGTAAATGCCGTGATTGTTGCTACCAGAGGCAAAAAACATCGTAAATACCGTGGTCTTGGGCTTCCGAGGCGCAAAACAACGCGAAAACAACACCTGTGTGACGATTTTTAGGGACAAGATGTGTTGCAAGAACAAAAAGAACAACAAAAAGAACAACAAGAACAAGAACAAGAACAACAACAACAACAACAACAACAACAACAACAACAACAACCACAACGACGACGACGACGACGACCACAACAACAACAACAACAACAACAACAACAACAACAACAACAACAACAACAACAACAACAACAACAACAACAACAACAACCAGAAGAAGAAGAAAAAGAAGAAGAAGAAGAACAACAACAACAAGAAGAAGAAGCACACAAATGCGACAAAAAGATGTGTTGCAAGCTGCGGTATGAAAAGAACATCATCCTGGGCTCTGCACCTGCGCGCACCGCCGAGCACATGAACAACACCAACGCTCACACTACTATACATAACTATGTTATGGCATCGCCGGTGTGCGAAGCTCTACAATTATAAAACCCGCATTTCTATTGGTCAAATCCCTCAAAACCCAGCTTAAATCTCATGATGTAATGGGTGCCTGGGTGACATCCCCATTCCTTGCCAAATAAAATGTGTTAAAACCTCCAGGGTGAAGCCCCCAAGCGATATCTATGACGCACAGAACTTGGTGAATTCAATGGTTGATTAGAGGGATATAACTAGAGTATGCATGGGCTTCACCAACAAACGTAACCGGAGGGCCTCACCTTCTCCCAATGTTCTCCCCATCATTCGCATGATTGGCTGAAATCCCCCTTATCAGTCGCCACGTAAACCATCTCAAAAGCTCCCAATTCGAATGTTAGAACTCGTTATTGCCCCATTATCTGTGTTAAAGCTCCCAATATCATCTGATATCATCTGTTTGATATGGTCATGGCTCAGAAACCATCCTCAAACCTCCCAATTCGCCAAGAATCCACGCCATATCTTCGTAGAAACTCCTCCACCTCCTCGTTGCGTGGCGGCTCCGGCCGCGCGTCCACCGGGGGTGGCCCCTGGCCACGCAGCCGCGCCAACAGCGCAGCGGAGGGATTGCGCACACCACCTGCGCCAGGTGTGTGCCGACTTATGGCATGCCGGATTTTTGGATATATGTTAACATCTATTACTGGTTGGGATATAATGGCATGCCATAAGTCTTATATTGATGCTAATTATTGTGGTTTATACCATGGATATCCATATTAACATCTATTACTGGTTGGTGGTATACCTACCCCTCTGAAAAATATGAAAGTCAGTTGGGATGATTATGTCCTGGTTGGTGGTGACTTAACCATCTTGAAAAAGTATGAAAGTCAATGGGAAGGATTATCCCATATATGATGATGGAAAATAAAAAAAGGTTTGAAAGCACCAACCAGTAACATCTATTATATATCCAATGAGTGCCATTATTATGGACATATTTTGGATATAATCGTATTGTTGCCATACTATGGATCTATCTTTTAGAGCATCTAATTTGCTATAACATGTAATAAGATAATGTGCCATAACATAATTGTTGCCATATGTTTGCCATCATTAGGATAATTCGTAAGAACATGTAATGACTGGTGATTCATGAAAATTGGTGAATCCACGTCACTTGGTTGAGAATTGAGGAATGATGAGTAATAATAATAGCATTAATAGCAATATTTTGATCATGATTGGTTCATAGTAGTTAATCCATATCATTTGGCTAATAATCAATAATGGTGGTTATTAATGATGGATTCATGAATATGATTAAATGTGATTAGATATCATTAGGGTAATTCATGGTTGTTAAGAATTATTAGTCAATGATGATTACACATATTTACACATAACATACAATTGATTAATAATGTACAGCATTACATCATCATTGATTGGTATGATTAGATAATTATACTATCATTGCTGTAGTCACCAGTAATGTTATCAGTAATGTATCATATTATCTTTCGTGAATGATGATTCATGTGCGGTTATAATTGATTACTGATGATTATCAGGGTGATTAATAATGAATATAAATCAACACTGAAAATTAGTAATAATTGGTCAATGATGATTGTAAATGCCACATAACTGATCAAGATGATTCATTAGGGGTAATTAGTAATGTGGTAAACCCAGTGTAAACCTACCATGTTTGGAGCTTTAGAGGACCTATGTCTGGTGATATTTTAGTCCATCAACCAGTTTCTGGGAGGCTAAGGGTTAAGGGATTGGATGTTTAAAGTTTGAAAAGATGTTTTTCAAAAAACACTGCTTAAACGACCTTAAAGAACTGGGGTTCTTTCTGTGTGTCGGATGTTTGTTGATGTTTCTTTTGAGGGATTCTCAGGTCACAAAGTGTTCAGGCTAAATCCCAACATTACACATGCAAAACAACATATTAGCTGTTTGAACAACCATTTACTAACCGACATGTATCTCCAATGTATTGGGTGTATCCCAATTTGGTGATGGCCAAATCCCACTTCATTATGAACAGTTCCAGGTGAAAACCATCAGTGAAAAAAACCATCCGTCATAGTTAAAAAGCACCGTTGTTCCCGGTTCCATATAGTCCAAGTTGCCCACAGTCATACGATTTCCTCAGTGACTCATACCTATACTAGGGCTTGATATTCCCATGTTTGCTGGTTAAATCCCTAGTCTTCCTAGTTTTCACCCCATTTATGTGGACAAATGTTCCATTTAATGCTCGGTTGAACTGGGTGATGTTCTACCAGTATTAGCGTCTATCGGTTACCCAAATAATTGAAGCATTTCATTGCAAATCCACAGTCTTACAATAGAATGAAACATAATATGAAACATATGTTTCTATACCTAACAAGCTTTAGGAGCTTGTGACACAAAAACCCTCGGGTAATTTATAGTTGATTTACCTATTCAAGATGGTGTTTTTCCTTTCCGCTTTTTGTATGTTTACCAGAGGGTACGTTTACCTATGGATAATAAATACCACCATTATAGAAAAGCTATAGGTATGTTAGGTTATCCATACTATACATAAATACCTATGTTACCTATAGAAAAGCTATATATGGATAACACATACCAAAACCCACCATTTTTCTGCTCCGAGCCACGCAAATTGCCGCGGCTCAGCACCGTCTGCTGCAACTCCACCGCTGCGGTGCGAAGCTGGTGGGCTGCGTTGTCATCGACAGGGTTGTCCAACAGGAACTGCTCTACCTTCCGGGGTCAAAAATCTGGCAAATCGGAAAATCATCGGCAGAAAAATCATGGGAAACATGTGAGAAAAAAATGTGGAAATTCGTTGAAATTCGCAAGATTTTCTTAGAAGAACCTGGAAAATTCGGTGAATTGTATGGAAATGTGTTGGATTTTTCCGGGGGGGAACCTGGGAATTCAGGTTATTTTGATTTTTTATGGGTAACGCGGAGTTTTCTTGATATTTTTTTGCCAATTTTCTACGGAAAGTCTTGGGGGAAGATTGCATCAATTCACGTAAAGAATAAGAGATTCACACCAACCAACTTAGAATATGTACCTTGGATGTAGATTTCATCAAATGAGGTGTGCAATCAACAAACATATAGGTCACTGGCCATCTCAGGAACTGATTGATTGGAGGTACCTACCACATATATAAGGCCTATGTAAGGGCATGCAAGGGCTATGTAAGGGAATATCCCCACAAAATACGGCCTTATATGGTACAGTACCTCCATTTTAGGATCCTGAAATTCCCATTGAATAGGGAGTTGATGTGAAACAACTTCGATTGAGGGTGTATCCCTTGAACTCTTCCCCCGTTCCAGGTCCACATCACCCCTTACATCTAATTGGGGCTATACATCTACACACCTAGCCTACTGGAAACATAAGGATGGCGTACCATTGGGCTTGCCACATCTAGGAAATCTCCCAGGTGGATGATTTGCCCATCGAACAACGGCAGGAATTTCCGTAGCTATGTGAAAAATTGGAGGGTCGATCCGTCAACCTACTGCCAATCATTGTTTACAATATCTGGTTGGTGGTTTCCACCCCTCTGAAAAATATGAAAGTCAATGGGAAGGATTATCCCATATATTATTATGGAAAACAATAAATGTTCCAAACCACCAACCCGATATTGTCTAATGGCTAACAACCGCCATATTCTGGCAGGTTACTTCACATTATAAACATTATATTGCTTATTCACAGCAAATTTACCTGGTAATCGAAGATGGCTTGCTGGAAAATCAACATTTCGTTCGATGATTCTCCTGATAAACCCTCCATTTTGCTCGGGGATTTCCCCATGAAATAGCCCATCAAGTACACCATTATTCATTCTTATCAATGATGAACCATTCCGAACCCATCATTCACCCATTAGAGTCCTGAATTATTGGTTAACCAGCAAATGATATTAATCCCGAATAACCATTCGAACCATCATGCTATCCCATTGTTAACCCATCATAGTCCCGTTATAGTCACATTAATCCATATTAATCCCTCTATTGTCGGACATATCCACATCATACATTCCCCCTTCCCATAAAATTACCACTGTTCAACCCCATGCTTATAAACTATTGGCTATATCAATTAATGATTAATCGTTACTATTGTGGTAAACCCAAAAATAAACCATCTCCAGTAGAGGTTTATTAGGTAATACCCACTGGGATGACGTAAAATAAAGTCAATGGGATGGGTTCTTATTGGGTTTACCACAGTAACCACTAATCTAATCAACCACTATATTAATCATTATGTTAACTAATCCGCTAATAGTCTCAGCTTAGTTAACAAGTAACCATTAATGACTATTAACCATTATGTTCTCCCATCATTAATTCATCGAAATCCCATCATAGTCCAATTGTAATCACATCAACCCCTCCCATTAATCCCACTATATCCCAATATTCACAATTCATAATCTCATAATTAACCCTGAAAGCCTATTAACCATTATGAACCATTATTCCTCCCATAGAACCCCATGTTTATCATCCACATTACTAACCACGATGAACCCTTATGTTAACCCATCATTATTAACCACTATGAAATCTTATTAATCATTATAAACCATATAGTTAACCATGATTCATCCTCAATTCACCAATATTTCTCATGTTAGTTAACCGGTATATAACCATCATTTACCATATACCCCCTATAGTAAACATACAAAAAGCGGAAAGGAAAATCACCATGTTGAACTTCGCTAAACCATCTATCATCTATGAGTTGGCCAAAATCCATACAGGATGGGGCCCCCAAGATAGCTAAGTTGCCTTATAAGTGGCTTAACTGCTTAACTATGGTTTATGGTAGAGATAACGAACTAGTTAATGGGGGTTTTGTTATGGTTTATAAACCAACTGATCTGGTTGGTGGTTTTAACAATCTTGAAAATATTAGTCCGTTGGGGTTACTGTTCCCAATATATGGAAAAATAAAACATATTCCAAACCACCAATCAGTTATAATTGGGGGGGCAAACTCGTACGATGGACAGTTCGAGGCTATTTGGCAGTTAGCAGCTACTCTTATGTATTTACCGTTCCCATTTTATACTCTATCCGCAACTATAGAATAGGTAAATCACCTTATAAACCAACTTATAATTGGGTTTTCACCATTTTGAATAGGTAAATCAACTATAAATGGGCCAAAATCCATAGCAAACTGTTAGTTTACCAGGGCACTGCATCCAACTCCTTGGCTTCAGGCTCCGGGGACCAGTACGGCGTCCCCCGCGGCGCCGCCGTCGTTGCCGCCGGTCCACGACGCACGGCAGAGCCCAGGGGCCGTTGGCTCTTGAGGCGCCGGAGGGCGTCGGTCACCTGGCGGAAAGCTGTGAACTGTGAAAGTCAATGGGATATCTATTGATATCTATGGAAATGTGTATGCTGTGAGAGTTTTTGGAGGAAAAGAAATGAGAGAAACTCGCCGGAATTTGATGAGATGGTCTGAAGAATCGAGGGAAAAACCTCAAAAAAGTGATGGTTTAGAGTTTAGAGGTTACCCTCTGGTAATTTAACATAGCTATTGAACATGGCCCAGTCGAAATAGTGGATTTTCCCATTCATAGCATGGTGATTTCTATAGCTACGTTAGTTTACCAGAGGGTAACCATCATATATCCCATTAAATCCCATTAAAATACCATAAAATCCCATTAAAGCCCATTAAAATACCATAACAAAATGGTGTGACCTTATTGTTTCCCTATCAAAATGGCCACTGAAATGGGAACACCACGATGATGCCATGATCGCCTCCCCTTCCGTGGCGAAGCGAACGAAGGCCGAAGCCCCGGAGCCGTCCTGGGAGGGGAACCGATGTCTTTTTGACAAACGTGGGAACCACCTTAGTGTTATACTTGTTATATGGGTTTGTCTGAAAATGGGGTATACCATGGTATACCCCCAACTATAGCCATTTAGTAGGGATAATGATCATTAACCATTGGGTGTAGGGGTACACTATTTTCAGACAAACCCATATATTTATATAGAGTTACTGGTTGGTGGTTTTAACCATCTTGAAAAATATGAAAGTCAATGGGAAGGATGACATCCCATATATGAAATGGAAAATAAAAAATGTTTGAAACCACCAACCAGTTTATATAGCGTAATTATGTGATGGGATAATTGGAATTAACTTCATTTAAGATCCATATTTTCCATATACAATAGGGATACGTATCACCAAAAATCAGTTCTGACTTGATGTAACAGGAGACCATTGTCCCCGAACATCTTGGAGTTTCTTGTCTCACCCTTCAAGACGAGCTGTTGATGATCTGTCCAGCAAAGCATCCGGACTTCCCATCCCACTGTGTGATGTACCCTCTGGTTATTATTTAACATAGCTATGTTATAGATGGCCCATAGAAATACCCTCCGGTAAACTAACATAACTATGGAAAATCAACATTTTTTAATGGGAAAATCCACTATTTCAATGGCCATTTTCAATAGCTTTTTGTATGTTTACCAGAGGGTAGATGGTTGACCTATGAATAGCATGGTGGATCTTTCCATGGCGATCCCCCGGTGATCCCCGGTGTCCAGGTCCATGATGACCTTGTCGGGCGGAAAGTCCATGGCGTCGAAGAAGGACACGACCTGGCCATCGTGGGTAGCTCCAGGTCTTCGGATTCACCGGGGATTCACCGGGAGATGACCAGAAACAGCTGCTGGCTACGGTTCAACAAACGACGTTTGGAGGAAAGGATGTGTGGAAAACCTTTTGGGACACTGGATTATCACTGGATTATATATCTGTTTCAAGGATAAAAGGCCATGGATTGTGGAAGACCTTATCCGATAGTGGGATATCAAGGATTGTGGATGGACATTTCTGTTCGCCAAAAAAGGTCTTGAAGACCCAACAACTCCAACTTTACACACGGTCACATCTACAAAAGCCTCCCGGCTGCAACCAGGTCCCTATGAACTGATTCAGCCTGAAAAATCCACCACTGAGACCGGTACATTCTTGATTTTAGATGAAGCTCTTGGTTCAACCCTCATTTTGGTCCAAACACCATGTTCCGTTGGTCAGACAGTTCGCCTTACATTGCTGTGAAACAGCTTGCTTCGCAACTTCCCAGCAGCCAATCCTACTCATAGTCCAAGAAATTCACAGAACATCATATATATATATATCCCATGTAATCCCCATTTTTGATCGTATATCCTCATAATATCCTCATTATATCCCCAACTTCAGAAAAATCTTCACCCAGGAGCATCGTCCACGTCAGTGTTGCCCGGCATCCCACTCACCTTCACCTCCGACTTACCCCGATGATGGCCACGGTAAAGGGAAGATCAGCCACCAGGAGAATATGATAATGATATGATAACTAAAAAGATCATATGAGATAACAATGGCATATAATATCATATAATGGGATACCATATAAAGGGTTGTTTTTTACATGGGATAATCAGATAAGATACTAAAAAGGATCAGTGGAGATACCCTCTGATAAACTAAGATAGCTATGTAAGCCATAGCCCATAGCCCATTTATACTTGATTCACCTACTAAAATGATCATGTTCCACATTGTAAATGTTAGTTTACCAGAGGGTAAGATAGGATAATATGAGATACTAAAGGTACAACAAACAAATATGTATGTGCTTATAATGGGACATAATTTAATGGAATATAATACCAACCGTCTGATGCACGGGTTTGTCATGGGAAATGCGCCATTGTTATGACCATCTGAAAGGAGAAAAAAATCTTCATAAACCATCAATGTGGGAGGTTGTGTTACCTATTTTCACACAAACCAAGATATCAATATGGTTGGTTTATATGATGATATCATATCAATGATACCTATTGTATATCATGATATCAATGTGTGTTTATATCATATCAATATGGGGATATGATGATATAAACCAACACGAACCGACAATAAAAATGGCCAACCAAAATAAGAAAAATCCCGCCGCAAAAAGAAAGTGTCATTTGACAATGGCTGCCCCCGATCTAGAGCCATAAACAACATTCATCTACCCAACCCAAGCTTTATCAAGTTGGTGCGGCTGGAGTGTTGTTATGTTCTCTCATATTCTCCTGGGCAGATGGGGATTAAATCGGGAGAATTCTAGAACATGGTGATGCCTGAAAAAGGACTCTAAAGCAATATCAAAGCTCTTTCAAGGATAAAGAGTCAGAAAACTGTTGATGATAATTCCAGTGAATAGGACAACTATTTCAGGGGGTTTCTCAATAATGGGGGATCCCCAAAACTATACGTTCCTTCAATATTCAATACTGAAAAATGATGCAAACTGTCTAATTTGGGATGGCTTTCAACAAGTCCCAGCCGAACCAGCAACATGTTACCATATTTTACCCCCTTGCGTTCCATCATTCCTATGTTGAAATGTCCACGTTTTGTAGCCTTGGTGTGCCTTGAGGAGCCTTGTGCAAAATTCACGGCAAAAAGATAGAATAGTAAATAGTAGTTTACAACTAGTGTTTTTGGATTTTACTTTTCCTCTCTTTTCAGAGGATCTTATACAATATCTGACTTGCAATCCCATTCGGAAACTTGGCAGATGGCAATCCCCAGTTCCTGGGTGAATATCGGTCCAAGACTTCGAAGAGGTTTCCAACTCTGTAGGTCAAATTCAAACCATGGTTTATTAATTAGGGGGGTACTCCCCAAATAGTCATAATCTGATACTTAAATGGTATCCCCCCAATTAAACAACCTAGGGGTTTATTAATCCAGGGTTGACATTATTTGGAATTCCCTGATTGTGTAAGTCCAAAAATATCTTAAACATTCCATGGGCCATTTTATGGCCATTTTATGGCCCATGTTGATATCCATTTTAACCATGTCCGTGCAAGTCATCATCAACCCCACAAGTGAATACAAGTGAGTTTTAAAGAAATGAGACTTCAGCCCGCATATTTTGGGTTTATTATCATGGATTATCCTTCAAGATCCCAAATCGTGGTTGAGAATCGCCCCAGACCCAAAGCCATATGAATTTTGTGTGTCCAAAATCCCAAATCGTTTTCTGAATCATGATCATTATTTTCGATGGAAAATGATGGAAATCACCATGTTGTTGTTTGTCTCAATGGAGTTTTGACTTTCTCTCTGTTACCATTGTGTTTTTTCGAATTGAAAATAACTACTTTGGAAGAAAAAAGAAGAATGTTGATCAAGATCCCTGACCATGGTTGGCTGAAATTCCTAGTTTTCTGGCCAAAATCCTGATGTATTTTTCACGGTTCTTCCTCAACCTCTTATTTATTGACGAAATTTCTTGGAACGAAGTAAGTTATCTACCTTTGTCTTGAAACTTCCCAACTGCCAATGACTTGCAAGTTGGCTGGATCATCGGTGGTTTCCGCATGGTTTCTTGCCTGAGATACCCTACTAATTAATGCCTTTCATCCTGAAGTTCCCCATGTCTTAGGAAACTCAATTCCTCTTCAATGCTCTCCATTTCTATAGGATACAACATGATATAATTATCCCGAATTCTCCCCCCCATTCACCACACACCACCGAATAGCCAAAGTCACCCAGTTGGGATCCTGCACAATCTCGAGGAACTTTTCCCGTCGCGTTGCCGGCGCCGGCGCGGCCGCGGCGTCGCGGGCGTCGCGCAAACGGGCGCGGAGCACGGAGGACTGGTTGCGAGCATTGCCTCAGAAAAAATCGTTGGAAGCTGTGAAGCCCGGCCGTTGGACCACCGAATGTGCTGGAAAGATGTCAAGCAGGCTGTCAAGCTGTCAAAATCTTCAGCGATTTCTGTGTTTGATGGTTTCAATGTTGACTCTCATCGCTGGGCTCGTTCCTTCTCGCTCAATGGATCTCAATGGCTTGTTTTGTCCAATCACCCAATGGCGTTGTTGTAATCGCTGAATGACTAAGCTGATTTGTCTAATCACTCAATGGCTCAATCCAGTAATGCAGGGTTTCACTGCATGTTTCCAGTTGCAATGGGGTTTCTGCTCACTATCTCCTTCCCTGCCTTCTCGCACTTTATGGCTGTTTCGAGCTGATCACTATATATTCTCTCTGCGGGAATTAATCATTCGCATAAGTGTTTATCATGTTTTATCTATCGTTCGAATCCTGGAACAGCACTGTACTGTTGGCTTACAAGCGCTCGTGTTTGCGAGTGCGGGATCAAGAAGCAACTTCGAGAAGCAAGACTTATCATCGCGATATCTTCCTGCAAATATCATGAACAATAATTTCAATTTCGGCGTAAAATTCATTCCCACTCCACCCATCCCCCAGCCTGTCCAAGTGGGATCCACATTTATAGGTTTGTCACGGTTTGTATATTGGTATATGTGTTTCTTAATGATAATCAAAATCAGCTGAATTATAATCACTCGCCAGCCAGAAATAAACTCATGTGGCCATGAATCCCCACATACAATTCCCATCATCACCATTGTCCTCTTATTATCCCAATACTGTCCAATTAAACGCACAGCTTCCATCCATCTGGTATATTTCATCTTATTATCCCATTCTTATCCCAATAAATCACCATTTGAACGCTTAAATCCTATCAAATCCCCACTTTTGCATGGTTCAAAGCCAACAAAGTCCCGATTTTGAATGGTTAAAACCCATACAAATCCCCATTTTCCATGGTTCAAAGCCCTCAACAGATCCCCCATCTAAATCGTGAAATCTACCATCCCATCCCACTCGCAACGTAGGCGCTCAAGGACCCGCAGCTCAGCACCTGCCGCTGCACCTCCCTTGAACTCGTCCGCAGTTCCTGCGCCGTGGCCGCATCGACCTCGCAGCCCGACAAAAACTGCTCCACGTCGTCCATGGCGACGGCGACCACGGGACGGACACGGGCCCAAAGAGGGATGGTTTTTAGGGTTGGGAAAGGTTGGAGGTTGAGAAATTCTTCATAAATGTTGGAGAAAATTGTGGTGGCTTTGAGTGGATGGTATGTTGGAGGTTGAGGATGTTTTGCTTTGGATGATTAAAAAGTGATTTATTGGAGGTGAGGAGACGTGAAATGTGACTCTGTCAAGACTGTCATACTGGCTGATCTTTTGTAGAACTGGCAGTCACTTTTTTCTCAAAGTTGGAGAAATCGATCGAGACCATTGATGGTTTGGTCTCCACCTTTTTCGGTTTTAGACACACTTAAAAGTCGACGAGTTTTGCTATTTATCTAGTTGGTGGTTGACCTACCCCTCTGAAAAATATGAGTTCGTCAATGGGAAGGATTATCCCATATATTACCCATAGGATCCATGTATGCTATATATGGTAACATTTACCATCAATATACCCCCAATGTTAGCATATATACCATACATGGATCCCATATATTATGGAAAATAAAAAAGTTCCAAGCCACCAACCAGTTATGGATTGGTCCATTTTGGTCCCTTCTCTTATTGAAATGTTTACGACAGTCTGAAACCGGTGCACACACACCAGTGGAAAGGGATAGGCTCGGCACACATGATCTGCGGTTGAATCCACGTGTCCCATATGTTACATATATACACATTACAACATTATGTAACTCTATGTATATATATATCCTTATACACACATATATACAGATCTATTATTAGATCGATATAAATGTGTCGAATCCGCATATTGCCATTACCATCTGGCTGTGAGCCACAAACTTGTGAGGCAGTGACACACAATGTCGGACGCAGGGCATATCGTCGGCAACTCGATACAGCTGACGTGGGAGCAAACCTAGCTCCCTAGCGATAGCTAGCTGACGTGGGAAAACAAGAAAGTGAAATTGGTGTACCATGTTATACCCTCTGGTAAACTAACATAGCTATGGATCATGGCCCACTTATAGAGGATTTACCGATTAAAAATGGTGCTGTTCAATTGTGAAGTACCAGAGGGTAGAAACCTACAGGGTAAACAAGACTTCTCCAGAGGTTTCTGTGGGTGTGTCTGAAAATAGGATAGCCTCTGGTAAACTAACAATTTGCTATTGAAAATTGCCATAGAAATAGTTGATTTCCCCATTAAAAATGGTGACTTTCCATAGTTATGTTAGTTTTTCAAAGGATACCCAAAATTTGGACGGTTTATCATTTTTCCAATCATGTAAAATGGCAGTTTTGGTGTCACTCCCTCAGGCCTCAGTTCCATACCCATACATCATATGGTTGACTATATATATATAATTATATAATATTATGTATATATATATAATTATATATATTAATTATATATATTATATAATTATATATATTATATAATTAATTTAATTATATATATATATTATACATTATATATAATTACAGTATATATCACCTAATAGATCACCTCATTCAGTTCCTCGCATTGAGCCATCAAAAAGCATCGCTTTCGCGCTTTCGCCTGGCCCTGGCTTTGGCTTCGAAGGCTTCGAAGGCTTCGCTGCTTCAGCGTTCGCATCCGGAGCAGCCTTTGCAGAGGCAGCCGTAGGTCTTTTCCAACTCGTCGCATTTGTAGCCTGCGGCGAAAGGGTTTGGGGACCACCGCAGGACCCGGTTGGGTTATCACCAGTTGGGGTGAAAAACATGTGTCTTTTGACCATGGGTTGTACTTTTCGATGTGAATCGTTCCTACTGTAAATGTTTTTTTTGGGTGTTTTAAACGGTATCTGATACAGCATTCATCGTTGTTTGTGGGGTTTTTTCATATGGTCACCACGATTCTGCTCCAAATGAACCCCCCATCAGTTGGGATATGATCCATGGCCAACCATGGCTGGGATATGCCCGAAGCGTTCGTGACCAAAAAAAACACCACCAATCACAGTAACAGTTGAGGTGATAACAGGCGGGTTGGTGGTATACGAACCCCTCTGCAAAATATATGAGTTCGTCAAATGGGATGATGACGTTCCCAATATGATGGGAAAAATCATCCAAATGTTCCAAAGCACCAACCAGATCATATTTCATAAGTGATACAGTTTTCTACATGTCTACTGACTGTTGGCTTCACAAAATTCTCATAAAATCATGGTCCAACAACATCCAACGTCACCATCACTTCCAGCGCCATGCTGAATTACGGGACCGACACCTTGCTTGACCCAGAAGTTACAATCCTGGGCCCCACGTTGAGCGGTCTGGTCGAAACGATGTTCCGTAGGGAGTGGCCGGGTCTCCAAATATAAACTTTTAAGCATGTAGAATATATGTAGAATATATGTAGAATATATGTAGAATATATGTAGAATATATGTAGAATATATGTAGAATATATGTAGAATATATGTAGAATATATGTAGAATATATACTATATACATTTTGGTTAGGCTGAGAATGTGGGGAAAAACCCTAAAAGTAGCGTGCGATCATCACAATACCATACAATACCCACTATTTCATGGCCATAAAAGGGGGGTGGTTATTGCAAACCACTAACCCAGTCCAAGGACCTTCAGGGGAGAGAAAATTCTCAAGAGTCTAGAGATCTGCGACAAGATGGGGGTTGACCTTGGCAGTGCATTTTTCCTACTGGTGCTTAGTAGGGAATGGGGGAATGATCTATAAATATCTATAGTTTATATATTATAAATGAACAATGAACAATCATCCCTTCCCCCATTCCCTACTAAGCACCAGTAAGTGTTTCTGCTTACTTCTGGTGACTCTTATTGTTGCTCTTTCGATGCTGGTCTCATCAGCAGCTCATATCAGCATGTCACTGTGACTGCGGCTAGCAGGGTCTGAAAATGGGATGTGGCTCCCAAGTCCAAAGGGATCACGAACATCATATTCCATTCAACTGGCAATGTTGGAGAATACCCCGTGAAATATTTTAACCCCCCTACACATCCACACCAGGAGCCCATCTCATCCCCATCTTTCTGGGACCAGAAAACGGACTCCCCCCGTCCCCACGATCCAAGCAGCAGGAGTTTCACCACCGGTGACTTCGCTACTGGCACCGCAAGTCTTTGGGCACCTGGTTTCCGCGAAGTTTTCGGGTTGTTTTTCCATAGCCATGGGACCCCAATGGCTGGATGATTTCGAAATCCCATGGAGAACTGGGGGTAACCCCCATGACTTAGGAAACTTTCATCCAAATCGAGGATGTGGATTGGACCTCGGCTTATTGGGGGCTTCCCCTTCCCAGATGATTTCGGCCATATGGGGATGACTTCCCCCAATCCTAACCATCGTCTATGGGGCTTGGTCATGGCTGGGGTCACTAGAATTTACAGATCTGTCAATGGGGCCGACCTGAAGGGAAATTGAAAACTGCCAAACATTGGCTTTAAGAAACCAACTAGTAAGCCACAACAAAACAAGAACATCTGGTGCTGTATTAGGTGCCCATAGGCGTCCAACCAGTAAACATTTGGGTGTCTAAGCCGCAACAATTGGGGTCCTTTGACCACCAGAAATTTGGGTGTTTAAGCAGCAAACATGAAATGGGGGTTTCAGAGGAAACTCAACCATTCTTTACCAAAGAAAATCAGGGCGCACAAATCCCATGTGGTCGTCTGGTGGTCCATCCGCGCGTTCAAACCCCTCTGCCCCTCTGGGATTCCATGTAATCCGTGGTTGATCTTGGGATTCCCCATGAAAGAGGCTAGTCCCCAGCATGAGGGGAGTGGAATCCCCGAACTAATCAACGATGAACACAGCCGCTGTGTTGGATGCAGCACCTGTTAGATACCTCCGATACAATCACCAGTAGGTTGCCCGAAAGCCACCACTGGCCCCAAAAAACTTTATATCAGATCCATCATCCCAAATCAGGGTTGCTCCCATGTGCTCCCACCCCAGTTGCAAGATGTTGCAAGGGTGGTAGCATCCCGTTGTAACTACAATCATCCCCACGATGGGACAACAAAAATCACCAAGACATCTCAGCCATGTTATGTGATATAACTTATTGATATAACAAGACTGGGATGTTCCAAGAAGTATGCGACAAAAATCGTCATTTGGGAATTGGAATGAACATGGAATGAAAATGGCCCATGTAGTTCGATGCTATATTACATCATTAATTAAGATATATAAAATGGTGGTTTTCCATAGCAGACTGTTGGTTTACCAAAGAGGCAGTGAATGGTTAAGGAAGTAGGAAGTGAATGGTGATGTGTTGCACCAAAAAAGGTTTCCCTATCCCCAACTTCTACCCGCCGAGGAACACTTCTGTGTCGAGGGCACATTCGCAGCCGGAGCAATCGCAACCCCAGTTGTGCGCAATGTACTTGCAGCTGTAGTCTGGCCAAGGCAGGTTCCAACTGCTAACAATAATGTCCTTTTGGTAAAAATAGAGGGGCCGGTTTGGTATACCATCTATAATCATTTACCTGTTGTTAAAGGGGTAAACAAACCCCTCTATTAATCAACCATTCAATGGGAAAAGGACATCTATGAACTGCAAACGTTTTCTGCACAAATGGGAATATGTAACCCTTGACTCCTTGACCACAAAATGGGCAGGGGGAAAACGTGGGAAAAATTTTGACGGTTTTAATCCGAAGGGGAACCGGGGGATTTCTGAACCAGAAAAGTCCGGGAAACCAGAAAATGTTGTGTGGCCATTTATGGGACACCATATAGCGGCAAGATAATTAGGGAAATATAGAGAAATATAAACAGCGGCGATCTATGATTCTGGGGACACCACCAACAAAGACTATGACTATATGTACTGTCTATACATTATACATGACAGCTCTTTATGAGCAACAGGAGTGAGTTCTTTGGGTTTGCAGAAGACGAGGCCAAGCCACCTCGTTTTGGGTGTCGAGTTCCAGGAGTTGGAAGGAGTTTCGTATAAATCAACTCGAGGCATAAAAGATGTAGCAAAACCCGAATTTTCTACATCCCAAAAGATCTAGAAATTGTAGTCTAGAAATTGTAGAATCCCAAAAAACAACAAGCATCCATTTCACCTAATCTTCAGGACATCCATCAGGCAATCTTGACCTGCGTTTTGTTTGAACATTGTTTGTCTATGTTTGTCTCAGATAACGGGCAATGGAATCCAGTAAATCTTAAAAAAAAATGTCATTTGGGATACTCCCATGTTTGGCAAACAATCAATTTAGTTTTGATTATAGCAACCCCAAGATAGATAACACGGTTGAAAACCAGTGAGGTCCTACACCCTCCACCCGTGGGGTACTAATCATATCCCCGTTCTAGCTACTGGTTCTAGAACACAAAAAAATGCCGAAAGGTGTTTACAGGATGTGAATTAGATGATATTTCTACATAATAATTCATCATATATTCCACTGTTCTATCGATTTTGGGGTTACTTTGTCAAAAAATTCGGGTTGCCACGCCCCAAAACTTAGATTTTCTTAAGGAACCACACCCCAGAAAAAAAGGGATTTCCCATTGGGAAAATTCAGCAAATCATCGACTCAGCAAATGCAAGATAATCATCAACCATTCATCATTTATCAGGTATACATCACTTAATATCACTTATATCCCCATATGGTAAAAAACCAATCATTGACTCAGCACATCCAAAAAAAAAATCACTTATATATCCTTAAATATCATTAGTCACTAATAGTCGGTGATATCTCCAAATATCATTGATTAGATCATTACCCTGTGGTAAACTAACATAACTATAGAAAATCACCATTTTGAATAGGTAAATCAACTATAAATGGGCCATTTTCCATAGCTATGTTAGTTTACCAGAGAGTAATGATCATTGGATACCCCATGAAATATCCCAATAAGCTGGCCAACATTCGAAAAAACCTCCTGTGATTTTTTCGCGCCTAAGTCCTTCATCTCATCGCAGGTCTTCCCCAAAGCTACGCACCTTGGCCCCGCAGGTTATGACTGGAATGGTGGATGAATGAATGGTGAACAGTTAAGACTGGCTAATAATTATATCTTAATATGTGATTGATAAATGATCAATAAATGGTTAACAATGACTGAGATTATAATGGTTGATATATGTTGATATCATGATGAAGAATGGTTAAGGGCCAAGTTAAGGATATATTTTCCATGGGGACGTCACCAACAATCGTGTTGTTTTTTTGGCACTGGTGCACTGCTTCTGCCGTCGAGCCAAAAATGCCAAAAATGCCCAGGTCAGATGTGATGAAACCAACAGTGGGTTTCACAGAACTGTTAAATCATTACAGTTACATTGATGGTAGGTTATTGATTCTGGGCAAATTATAATATTTCACTAACCTGAATTAAGGCCATTTGGGGATGATTTCCCTTACTAACCATGATTCCAGTGAGGTCGCAGTGAGGTCGTTATAATTTACCCAGATTGATGGTAACTAATTAACAGTGAAATAATGGTGGTTACAGTAATAGTAACTATTAACTGTTAACTGATGGTACTAAATTATGGTTAACTGTTAAACACTATTGACTA